AACTTACAGTCTCCTGGTGATTAGCCCGAAGTCCCAGCTGACTTTCAAGCCTAAGGCGAGACTAGAACTCACCATCTCCCGGTGACTGAACGAAAGTCACCCAGTTTGCTTCACGCCACTAAACTACACCCCTGCACCAAACCAGCTTCGCTGTTCATGCTACTGCTCATTTTTTCCTGTTTGCGTCAGTTGTGTGATGCACAATGGAAGCGTGTGCTGACCCTCAGCTCCGATTCCCCACTAAACTAAAAAATAAATCTTTAAGTGTGCAGAGTTTCCTTTTTCATGCTATTTAACCTGTTAAAATAAAAACCCCACCAGGGATAAACTATACTGAATGCTAAGTGCTCTCCGAACACCCTTTGAATCCTAATTAAATATAGCTCAGGGAAAAATGTGCAAAAGAGAAAAAAATAGCAATTTCGAACCTGAAGGAGTCTTCTGTTTTTTTTTTCGAAGGCTTTCTCACCAAGCTGGTTAGGTTAGGTGTTTTTTTTTTTAAAGGGCTCAATAGAAGTACGGAACATGGACACAAAAGCCCAGCGGGCACCAAATTATTCTTTTATTTCCTTGAGAAAAGGTGAGATTATACGTCTTTCGTGTTTGGGGCCATATGGTGGTAATTTTGTTCCCAGCTTCCAGGAGACCCCTGAATTTCAACCTGGCTCATGGTTCTCACTGCCCTGTCTCAGGTTTCTGATTTCCAGCCCACACAGACCCCACCCCTTAATGGACCTTCCTGGGAGGGCATTTAAATGATGCCATTCAACTCTTCCGGTAGGGATGATGTCCCAATACGGGAGGTGAATGGACCGTGCAGATCCTGGAAGGGAAGGCAGACATTGATTTGATGGTTGGATTTCTTTCATACGGGCCTGGAGAGAGCCACTTTCCGTGCACCAGTGGAGAACCAAAGGTGCTTTTTTCAGCTGGACTTCCTGATCTTTTGCATTGAAGATGTTTCACTTCTCCTCCAAGAAGCCTCTTCGGCTCTTCTGACGAGGATGAGAAGCAAAAGATGTTTCGCGTAGGACAGTGTTCCTACCTGAAGAGTCTTTAAAAACAAAACAACAGAGAAAGTCCAGTTGCCTTTGAGATTAGTTGCTTCATCCTTTGGGACCCAAGAGAAGACAGCAAGCCATAACAGACAGGCAAGGAGACCATAGAGATTCTCAGTCATCCAGGTCATGATTGTCCCCAAAGAGATTTTTTTAAAGAGGCAATTGGACTTTCTGGTTTTTCTTTGAAGACTTTTTGCTACTCATCCAAAGAAGCTTCTTCAGCTCTGACTGGATGGTGGGGAATGAAAGGATTGATACTTCTTGCAGAGAGCCGGTCATTTGCACTCTTTTTAGAGAGTCATTGAGGCCACTTGGAGGTTTATCTGTGTTCTCAGGATCATCTGAGTTGTGCAAATGGGTGTGGAGCTTTCTTGGAACAGTTTGAAAAGACTGTGTTGTGGTCAATACCCATTTGCACCACTCAGGTGACCCTGATGACATAGATAAACATACAAGTGGCCTCAACAACTCTGTAAAAGAATGCAAATGACCAGCCCATCTACAAGGTGTTTTGGGTCTGTTACTTAGGACCCGAACACAAAGAGTATAAATCCTTCCTATCCTCACCATCCAGTCAGAACTGAAGAAGCTTCTCGGATGAGAAGCAAAACGTCTTCAAAGAAAAACAAGAAAGTCCAGTTCCCTCCTGAAAAAGCACCTTTGGGAGAACCATGACCTGGAGAACTGAGAATTTCCATAGACATCGACCAGTGGGGAAGAAGAAATAAAGAACGGACTTTCAAACCATAAAGGAGATTTAGATGGTATAAAATGTGCCCATGGGGGCCATTTTGAAAGCCAGTTTGCTGTAGTGGCTAAGACACCTGTCTAGAAATTGGGATGAAAGGCATGAAAACTGACTGTGTGACTTTGGCTGGACAAACGGACAAGTTTTTTTACTTTTTATCCTCTGACAGGTTTACTTCCCATCATGGATGGACATTTTTAGAAATAACAGAATTTCAGAATCACAGAGTTGGAGGTCTTCTAATTCAATCCCCTTCCCAAGCAGGAAACTCTATACAATTTCAGATAAATGGTTGTCCAGTCTCCCCTTAAACACCTCCAGTGTTGGAGCATTCACAACTTCAGAAGGCAAGCCTTCCACTGGTTGATTGTCCTCCCTGTTTGGAAGTTTCTCCTTAATCCCAGGTTGCTTCTCTCCTTGATGAGTTTCCATCCATTTTTTTTTCTTGTCTTGCCTTCTGGAGCTTTGGAGAATAGCTTGACTCCCTCTTCTTTGTGGCAGCCCCTGAGAGATTGGAACACTGCTATCATGTCCCCCTTAGCCAAACCCAAATCCTGCAGCCATTCTTCATATGTTTTTGTCTCCAGGCCTTTAATCATCTTAGTTGCTCTTCTTTGCACTTTTCCCAAAGTCTCAACATCCTTTTTTTTTTAATGTGGCAACCAAAACTGGACACAGTGTTATAGGTGTGGCCTTACTCGGGTTTTATAAAGCTGTACTAATACTCCACATCACCTCGATTCTCTTTCTATTCTGCAAAGAGAATCTTTTTTATTTTTCTTACAATTTCCCAGCTCCAAAGCAGAGTTGGTATTCAGCAGGTTCTGACCAGTTCTGGAGAACCGGTAGCGGAAATTTTGAGTAGTTTGGAAAACTGGCAAATCCCACCTCTGACTGGCCCCGCCAACCCCATCTCTTCTCTGCCTCCCATTGAGTCCCAGCTGATCAGCTGGGTTTTCTTTTGTTGCTCTGCACAGGAGAACGGAGCTGGAAAGCAGGTTAGTGGGGTGGGGAGGGAATGGGGATTTTGCAGTATCCTTCCCCTGCCACGCCCACCAAGCCGCACCACGCCCACCAAGCTGCACCACGCCCACCAAGCCACGGCCACAGAACCTATGCTTGTGTCCTACTTAATATGGTTCTCTTTCCCATTGTCTTGTTTTTTCTCTCTCTAAAACTCTCATCTTCTATTTGTGTCTCTTCCCCAAGATAAGATTTGGAGGAAGGAAAAAATTAATAATAACAACACTCCATGACAAACGTCTTCTTCCTTCCTTTTAAAAGTGCGCTGAATAATATATTTGCTGCCTATAACCACCCCAGTCTTATTGATTGTGAAATTGTTCTTATTAACACAATGAAGTCTTTTCTGTGAAACTCATAAAAGTAAAGATGCTGGAGGAGCAACCCCAGAATAGAGAGAAGAATATTCTTGATTCCTCGTGGGAGGCACACAAGCAGGGAGAAAAAGAAAACTGATGATGCATTTGTTCATCAACTGTTTTTCAATACAAAAAGATTTCAGAATGACGAGTGTTTTTCTGCACCAAAAAATGTGCAAAAGACAAAAAAAAAAAAAAATAGAAATAGCAGGTAAGGTATCCCTGGCAGCTTTTTATTAATAACGTTTTAAAAATTTAGCAGGTAAATGTGTGAAATGGGGAAAACTGTCCTTGTGTCTAGTTGTTCTGGTGTGCAGTGCTCTATAGTGTCGTTTTGAGGGTAGAAGTTGAAACAGTTTATGATTGAGATGTGAGGGGTCTGTAAATATTTTCACAGCCTCTTTTTGACTCGTGCAGTATACAGGTCCTCGACTGAAGGCAGGTTGGTAGTAATTGTTTTTTCTGCAGTCCTAATTATCCTCTGAAGTCTGTATCTGTCCTGTTGGGTTGCAGAACCAAACCAGACAGTTATAGAGGTGC